TAACTAAACGTGTCGGTTATTTTTTAGGACCCATTGTGAAAATAAATGTGCTTTGTTATTTTATTGTAAAGAGATAAGGTGATCTATCTATCTATCTATCTATCTATCTATCTATCTATCTATCTATCTATCTATCTATCTATCTATCTATCTGTCTGTCTGTCTGTCTGTCTGTCTGTCTGTCTGTCTGTCTGTCTGTCTATCTATCTATCTATCTCGTTGGGTATATTCAACATAAAAAAGACGAGACGAAAGAGATTATTTGTAGAATGTCAAAACAGAAAAAGAAGGAAACAATATAATCAAATTCTAACTGTACTGGAAGCATAACAAAAATATCTTCTAATGGACCCTTTTGGGCAGATCATGGCTGAAACTTGTGTAATGAAACATGATTGTATAGGTTCAGTCAGACCGATAGGTGGCAGTGCGCGTCTCCAACACAATAAAAATCCCGGAAATCTACCGAAAAAATCGAAGTCAAATTTGTTTGTGGACGTTTAGTGCACGTTTGGGTAAGTTTTTATTCTCCTTAAAGCTGGATCACGGTTTTGTTTACATGTACATTTACAATAAAATAATTTACTCTAGTGTTAATGTTTTTTTCCGCTTGCTTGTAACGTGTCTCAAGATATTGAATAATCCATTCATTCATTCTGTCTACACATCTTTTTTTCGACTTTCACCTCTCGTAATACAATAATGTTCCTTCTGTCGCATCTTCTCCAGAATTTCCGCAGCGTTTGATTTTTCTCTTTTGAAGTTTACAGATAGTTTGTGGAAATGTCGATCGGAGTGCCTATCAAAGTTCTTCACGAGGCTGAGGGACACATAGTGACCTGTGAAACCAACACTGGCGAGGTTTACAGAGGCAAACTCATCGAGGCAGAAGACAACATGAACTGCCAGGTCTGAGACAGAACTGCCCTGTGTAACAACAGACGCTGCAGGCACTAATACTTCTTTTCATGCACTTGTCATTTTAGACTCAAATCTTTCTAAAGTCTAATGTAATAACGATATTTAAAATACACACTTGGAGTCATTTTGTATTACATTTTGATCAATTTGTGTCTGCAGATTCCAAATACCATTTATATATTTAAAAACAATGTTCCACTACAGTAACTTAGCTTTTACAAACACACAACTTTAGTTTTATTCATTTGTTTTTTCTGAAAGTTTTCATGCCTGACTATATACAACAAATAATTGTACTTTTTTATCAGTGTTTTCTACATTTGGAGTGACAAAAAGAGATTGACCGATATCCTCTTTAAAAACCTAAAACTGCAACGTGTCAGAAAGAAACGTGTATTTTGAAGTGTCATATTTCACTTAAAATTTAGAAATGTCAGCAAATTATTGTATTTTTCATTTAAAAAATGTTTTATCTGTTTTTAAAAACTCTTAACCTTTGTAAAAATCCTAATGTAGTGAGTTAATTGTTGGAGTATGATAATAACTATTATTAAATGTGTTTACCCTAGTTTTCACCTTCAGTGTCTTTAACTAATATCAATACATAAAATGAAATGTATAATGATTTTTCGAAATGAACAAAATGTTTTTATTGTAAAATGTGAAGGATTTCTTTTGTATTGTCTCTTGACAATTCTCAATTGAAATTGAAGTATGAAGTTTCATTTATTATTTTTTATTATCCATATTATGTTTTTAATTGGTATTGATCTTGCCATGAAATAGCCACAAGTTTACAAAAAGATAACTTTCTTATATCTAGATATAACTATATAAAGAAATATCTCAATCAATCCTTGCATTGGACTTTTCTTTCTGCCACTGGAACTTTTGTCTTGACTCTTTGTATTTTATCTTTAATGTCTTTCAGATGGCAAACATCACAGTCACATACAGGGACGGTCGTGTGGCTCAGCTGGAGCAGGTGTATATTAGAGGCAGTAAGATCAGGTTCCTCATCCTGCCTGACATGCTGAAAAATGCTCCGATGTTAAAAAGTATGAAGAACAAAAATCCGGCAGCTGGTGCCGGTCGAGGAAAAGCAGCCATTCTCAAAGCCCAAGGTAATTACAGCGGCTTCAGCCCAGTCATTCTTTTGCTAATTTGAAAAGGTTATAATTCAGCTGAAGGACATAAATTCATGAAGTCCTGGCATTAAATGTTACATGCACGAAAACAAAAGTATCTTCCACTGTAGTTTTGTTCTCTAGTACAAATATTTAAACCTGTTTAAATAAAGTATGATTTACTTAATATGCAAAAGTAAGAAATAAAGTCTTGCTTTCTAAAAATTCCAACTAAATATATATATATTTTTTGCTTAAAACAGAAACTAATATCATTAGGTAATGACTTGTTTTTCCCATTTGAATTAAGTTACCAGGCAGATATTTGCTCTTGTTTTATTAATAAACTTGATCAGTTTCACAGAAATTATGCTTTTCATCTTTAATTTGGCTTTCCAAGTAAATTTATCCTGATTCAAGAATCATTTGCACTGAAAAACAAGAAAGAAACGCTGAGGAAAAACAGAACTTTTTTGCAGTGTGATCAAAAAGCACAGTGAACTTGAGTTTGCATATTGGATTGTTCGGGAGTTATTTAATGCAGTAAATTCGTTTGTTTTGGGAAAATTAACAAAATGAAAGATTATGGAAATTAATTTGAAGGTTGTTTTTTTTTTTTTTTTTTAATCAATCCCTTTAAATATACATTTAAAATATTATTTTGATGTTTTGTTGTCTCAGTCTGTTGATACAATATGTGTTTTTGTAACATTCGTTTTATTATCATAAAACGATCTTGGTTTATGAACATACAATAGCACTGCCATCTAGCTTCAGGGATTAAACTTTGTTTATTTATAGTTCAATGAATCCGATATTGATACTTTGTTTCCATTATTGTTTACGCAGTGGCAGCCAGAGGACGTGGTCGTGGTGGACCAGGACGAGGAAACGTTTTCCAAAAAAGGCGCTAGTTTTACTGATGTATCTTTTTAAATTGTTTTTTAAAGTTTCAACTTTTTTTATATATATAAATTTGGTCTGATTTTATTTTATAATGTTCGCTTGATGCTTTGTGAAATAAATGGGTGACTTTTGATATTTTCTCAAACATGTTTTTTCTGGTAGGGATATTGTGTGTGTGTGTGTGTGTGTGTGTGTGTGTGTGTGTGTGTGTGTGTGTGTGTGTGTGTGTGTGTGTGTGTGTGTGTGTGTGTGTGTGTGTGTGTGTGTGTGTGTGTGTGTGTGTGTGTGTGTGTGTGTGTGTGTGTGTGTGTGTGTGCATTTAAAATTTCAACATTTTTTTAAATGTGTACATGATATTAATAAATGTATAAATAAATAAAAGTATTAATATTATTAAATAGTTACTACATTTAAAAACTGCATTACTTAAATAGTTTCAGCAGATTGTTTTTCCCATCTTACACTTAATTGACTTTAGTCAACATAGAACTTTTTTTATTTTTTGACAATTATTTGCACTAAATTGCTTTGAGGATCTGAAAAAAAATAAGCTTTGAAAGTGCAGAATAAATAAATAAGGCTTGACATTAAACAAGAGTATTATCATCTCCATCTAAAAGGGGTTATAAACTGGCTTAATGTTTTGTTTTTCTTCTTTCAATAAGCTTTTTTTCCCCACTTCCCTGTTTTGAGGCCATCTCTGAGAAAGTCCAGATATATTGTCCTACTCTAAATAGATTTGCTATTTTAAATGGGTCAAAGACAGTTAATAATTCTTACTTTAATTTATTCACCATGCTGATAAATGTGCATTGTATAGCCTCCTCCTGTAAACTCTTTATTAATAATAATGAAAAATGGGCATTTAAAAACCAAATCCATAATGGATATTTTAAAATAAACAAAAACCGTGTACGATGGAATTTTTATAAACCTCTTGGTCATTTATGAGTGTGTGTGTGTGTGTGTGTTTCTGCTGCTACTGTGTTTATCCACAACCAGGCTCTGCTCAATATGATCTTCAACAGCGTGCTTATTGCTCCTCTGTGGCTCAATCTACCATGTAATGTGTCAATGACTGGGCGGAGCCACAGAAGCATTGATGTCCTTTTTATTGCAGGTATTTACCCAGATAGGTACATTCAGGATCTGACATTTTCTGAACCCGCTGTCAATAAAAGCTGTTATTTCAGTAAAAATATTGTCTTAAGCGCTAAAACTTTTATTGTTATAAAGCAAACTATATCAGTATTAGCGGTAATTTTAAAAAACAATCAAATATTTTTTCCCTAGAGGATAGTCCACCAAAAAAGTACGTTTTCTCATCCTCTAGTAGTGCACGTGTGTGAAATCCAGTTCCTGGAGGGCCGCAGCTCTGCACAGTTTAGCTTTAAACCTAATTAAACACACATGATCAGACTAATTGAGTCCTTCAGGATTGAAACTAAACTATGCAGAGCTGTGCTCCTCCAGGAACTGGATTTGACACCTGGCTCCAAACCTTTATGAGTTTCTGTATCCTATTCAAAAGAGGACATTTGGAATAATGCTGGAAATTTAAAGGTGAGGGATTATAAATATAGAATTAACTGGCTACCAGTTTCCAACATTATTTAAAATATCTTCTTTTGTGTTCAACAAATAAGTTTTTAACAGGTGGGTGATTTATGAAAAAATCCCTTTAATGTTTAACTTACTTTTCATTTATATGTAGTGCAGTTACATCATCCCAACGAGCACCTTGATGTCAGAAGACATTAAAAAACATCATTTATTTGATGTCAAAACCTTGACACCCATTTGAAATTCACACATTGATGCCCTTTTAATAACCAAAATAACAACACAAAAAGTATTATATAAGAAATGTTTTATTCAAGCTTTAATTCTAAACTCCAAATTCACACTGGATTTTGGATCTACCTTGATGTCAAAACGACATCAAATTGACGTTCAACATTAGCTTAAAAAAAAAAAAAAACACGCACAGGACTAATCAATTTTTGATGCCAACATTAGATATTGTTTTGACGTCCAGGTAGTCAATTGATATAAAGGAGATTTGCATTGTGACAATTGTTATGTCGTTTTGGCATCAGGATTCCTGCTGGGTTGCACACTCAGTGGCAAAATATTAAATATTTGTATACTTCATAAGATACTTGATATTTTCCTTTGTAATGACAGCACGTAAGGTGTTCAGGAGCACACCTTCACACTTGAACACTTCACAGTTGAAGTGTTTTAGCCGCTTGATTTGCATAGGTTTTACACAATCATAGATACCGGCTTGCAAATGTGCAAAGCACAAACGCTACTGGCCATCTAACAGGGTTTAACCAAATACCTGCATAGTGCATATCTAAACACGTTCCTTATTCATGCATCACAAGAAATGACATTCAAAACATGTGTAAATTCTTTTAGAGTTGTTGTAGATGTGAGGCTACAGGATACACACATGGCTTTCTGATCTGACATCAAGTGCAGGATCCCAGTGAACATTTCTTCAACAATGGGCTGTTCTGCTTATTGCTTCCACTGTCTTTTTGATCATGGGACACCGGTGATTCTGGTTGTTAGTAGCAAAAAAGTGGGATTCATCTTCAGACTGTTGCAGCTATGCATCATCGTATATGTTGCTGTGTGAGTATATTTCAACTTTAAAAGAAATAACAATTGCATCTGTTTGTGTTTATCTAATTGGTTGAATAAGAGTGAAATTACATTGACATGCTTAAAAATAGAACTCGACTTCAAGTAGAGTCGAAGTCAGAATTATTAATCCCCCTTTAAAATTTCTTTTTCTGTCTCAAAAATTTCCCCAAATGATGTTAAACTGTGCAAGGAAATTTTCACAGTATGTCTGATAATATTTTTTTCTTCTAGAGAAAGCCTTATTTTATTTTGGCTAGAATAAAAGCAGTTATTATTTAAAAAAAAAAAAAAAAAACATTTTAAGGCCAAAATTATTAGCCCCTTCAAGCTAATTTTTTTTCGATAGTCTACAGAACAAACCATGGTTAAACAAAAACTTGCCTAATTACCCTAACCTGCCTAGTTCACCTAATTAACCTAGTTAAGCCTTTAAATGTCACTTTAAGCTGTATAGAAGTGTCTTGAAAAATATCTAGTCAAATATTTAATGTCATCATGGCAAAGATAAAATACATCAGTGAATAGAAATGAGTTATTAAAGACTATTATGTTTAGAAATGTGTCAAGAAAATCCCTCTGTTAAATAGAAATCGGGAAAAAAATAAACAAGGGGGCTAATAATTCTGACTTCAACTGTATATGTATCAGTTGACCCTAATATTAAATATTCCTATGAGGTTTGAAGTAAACAAATGAATAAACACATTTTAAAGAGACCTTAAAGAAAGAAAGAAAGAAAACTTCCTCATCATTTGGTAAGCTTTTATGAGTTCATTCTAATGAACAGAAAAATATGTCTTGAATAAATAATAATAGCAATATTCTGAATTAAAAGCAGCCACTGACATCCAAAGTAAGAACACAAAATACTATGGAAGTCGAAAGCTGTTGCTTTCCAACATTCTTCAAAATATCATCTTTTTTTGTTCAGCAGAAGGAAGAAACTCAAAAGTGGAGGATGAGTAAATGATGACAATTTAAACTGTCCCATTTGTGAATGTCGCACTCACTGAAATTTCTAGCAGTCTTTATGGTTCAGGATATCTCTGTGTTGTATTTTTTAAGGTATGTCTGCTGGTATAAACGGGCCTATCAAGAGAGAGATTCAGTGATCAGCTCAGTTAGTACGAAGGTGAAAGGAAACATTCTGACCAATTCATCTGCTCTTGGAACTCATGTTTGGGACACTTCTGAATATGTCATCCCACCACAGGTACCTAAAGTTTGAAAGGAACCCATAGAAAATTAAAACGGCTTCTCTGAGTTATAGTTTCTAAATGGAGTAAATTGCAAGTATGTTTGGTGTTTAAAGTCATTTGTTCTATAATGTTCACATTTTAAGTATATTTTATTCACTTTAAACTATTTACTTAATTTTCATGCATGAAAATGTTCCAAAACTACTTCTTTTGAGTGTTTATCAAAAGTATTCACGACTTCATTAGTGTCATGGGTAATTAACATTAAAAGGGTTTGAATTGTGAATTTTGTTGCTATTAAACTCTGATAATAGTGTTGACATTGCATAACAGAATTGACAAATAAAATAAGTCAGTTCTTCTTTAGTAAACAAAAAAGAAAATATATACCTGTGGTAGGCAAATGCTGTATTATTCATAAGTTGTATGTTTTCTGTACGACACTGGAATGAATTTCTGTTTACTCTTTATTGGACATCTGATTCATTGGAAAAACTCATTGGAAAAATCTTGGAATGTTATTACAAGATTTTTGAAATTAAAAAATAATTATATTGTAATCAATGTTAAAGTGCATTCTTAGCCCAACAAAGGGTTAAAGATTTTTGTTTATTTATTTAAAAAAAGCTAAATATATCTTCAATAATAGAATCACCAATATGCTTTGTGTTCAAATGAAAGATCTCTCCTTAAAAACTAATTATTTATTCATGTCATTCCAAACCCTTAAGGCTTTGTGTGACACAAACCGAAACCCTTTTCACAAGACTGTTATGATTGTTAATGGTCATCAGCATTTAAAATCCTTGAACATTTTAGACGATGTATATTTTATGCATTTATTATTATCTTTGCATCAAATTACAACAAACGAATTACGGCATATGTGAGGCGTTTCTAATGAAGGGTCTGTGGACAGTAAATGTGAAGCTGTTCTCTCTTCCGTCTATATAAACATTTAAATAATAAAACAAAATCATTACCAGCATGATCATATCATCCCAAAAATATAAATTTATGCAATAGGAACATTATTTGTCAGTGACCTCTGACCAGGGGTGATCAAACCTTTTCTTATGAAGGGCCAAAAAGCACACTTGCCATGGGTAATTTATTTTATACTATTTAAAAAAATAAGTAGAAAACATTGCTTTATATTAACTAATACATAATTTTTAGAGAGTTTATAATAAACTTATTACAGTAAAAATAATGTAATTTATAACAGAATTGAGTTCTTTGCCTTATTTGCTCACCAATGTCTTCTGCATAGTCCTCTATCTGTCGAGTGACATTTAAAATGTTTTATTTACATTTTAAAAAATCTTATTTATTTAAAATTTAATTGAAACATTTAATTTCAGTTTTCTTTTTTTTTTGTTGCTGAGCAATAAAACAAAAAAGGTTACATCAAATTAGAAATTATCTCTTTTAAAGGCATTCGCCCCAACCCTCTCCATTCTTCTCATTCTCTTCTCAGATGAGAGGTTACAATGGGCCAACTTTAGCCCGTCGGTCTACTTTGGGCATCTCTGCTCTTTATAGTTTTTAAAAAAAGTAGAATTATGATTTCCTTTTGCTTTGAAATCACCTTAAACACACTTTCCGATCAACTTGAATTTAATTGCAAATAATGAAATGTAAAATTGATATCACCATTTTTCAAAATTCTATCATCTTTTCTGTTCCTCGAGGTCTCGAGGTGAACTCTTCTTTAAATTCAAGATTGAAAAACTCTTTTCCTTGTTTTTTTCTTGTAGGGTGAAAACTCTTTCTTTGTTTTAACAAATGCGATTGTTACTCAAGGCCAAACACAGGGCAGCTGTCCTGAGGTATGATAAAACACACTAATGCTGTCCACTTTCTCTCATGAAAAACTATTGCTTATTGCATTATGACTGATTCCATTTTACAGATTCCAAGTGAATTCACTAATTGCCAATCAGACAGTGACTGCAAAGAGGGACTCAAAGAAATTCGTGGCAATGGCATGTATTCATGTATAATAAGTTTTTCTGTGCATCACACTGCAAATCTTCTTTGGCTCTCAGTGAAGGCAGTCACACTTTTTCCCACTCCGTGCCATATTTCTTCTGGCTGGCTCCTCTTGTCTCGTCTTGTTCTATCTCTGCGACTCCTTGCCTTGCTCTCCAAACAAATAAGAAATTATGGATTTGATCAACTGGTCTCTGAACGCAGTTGACACCATGTTGACGAGAAGTCTGTGTTCGGGGGAACCCAGCTGACCTGCGGGTACGTTTGCAGCTGGATACATGATGAACAGATGGGAGAAGTAACGTGTTGTGTGCCTGGCTGCTCTGTCCCTGGAGGATATTGAAGATATCTATCTATTCGGAACTTTGATAACTGGGTTTCTTCTAATGGGCTTCAACAGCAGTCTGAGAGGGTCTTTTTTCGCCTCCCTCTTCCCTAATGTATTTTATTTCCTCTTTCTAAAAGCTACCTCTCGTTGACCGGTCATTCCCTGATATGTTTGATGTTTGTGTATGGTCAAGGGGGTCCAATTTCACTGCATGTAAAAGTGTATGTGACAAAGGCTTTTCATCATCCTTTTTCCCATCATCAAAACATTTATGAAACGATTTGATGCCACAAAGCAAAAAAGTAAATTAAATGTAAAATGGTCATCAACATCCTTCTTGATGTGTGATCCACACAGGCGTTCAGACGGGCAAATGTGTCCAATACTCTGAAACCATCAAAACCTGCGAGGTCCTGTCATGGTGTCCTCTGGAAAACGACACTGTCATTCCAAAGTGAGTGTTCAGTAAAAGTGAACAAGTTTAATGCACAATTGAAACTGGGAATATTAATAAAGTTTGTGATTGTACAGGCCTGCTCTTTTGAGCGCAGCGGAGGATTTCACCGTGCTCATCAAAAACAACATTCAGTATCCAAAGTTCAAATTCAGAAAGTAAGTACACTAATTAGTAGTTCAGGCATTTTATTTTTACAAAAATACCTGTTGTTAGCATTTTGCTAAATGAGAGAGTTCAGCCAAAAGTTAATTTATACTGTGGTTCTTAACTATTTGGAATTTCTTTCTTTCCCTGATTTTCACTACTTTTAGTAGCAAGAAAAAATACTATTACAATCAATGGCTGTAATTTTGTCAATGGCTGTAATAATGAAACTTTGTCAGATTTTAAAACAAGTTTGGCACAAGTGGAGAAGTAAAGCATGGTAAATCAGTTTTCATTTTTGGGTGAACTATCCCTTTACCACTTGCATTTTTATATTACAATTTATATAGTTGTAATGTAGCTGTTTTTTAAAGGTCTGCAAAGTTTTAAGAGATCAAAAAAGTCTAAACTGATTCTAGTTTTATTTCTACAACCGATCTGTAACAATAGGCATATTTCCATTACATTTCTTTTCTTTTTTTATCTAAACACTGATGTCATAAATGTTATGGAACTAAAAGTCCTCTCACTATCATTATAAAAGCATAGCAACAGATATTTGTGGTGCTTTAAAAAATTGATATATTGCCCTCTAAAGGGCACTTCAGAGTAAAAACAATGATGGCTGCCACATTAAGGTGTAATTCCAAACTAAATTTCTCAAAACTGGTCACTTCGAAGGGCACTTTGGAGTTAAGGATTTTGATAGGTACAATTGATGGACACATGGCCCCCATGATACCCCAAGGAAGTTCTTTCGTGTCGTTGGTGTAATACATATGACCTAATTCCTTCGAAGCTGTAACTCCAGAGTGTAAACCTTTCAAAGTGATAAAGGGCATAGGGATGAATGCTTCCAAGTAGCAAGGGATAGACATTGCACCCAGTACACAAACCTTTATGTTTAATATGTGCATCAGACAACTTCAAGGCACACCAATTGTATCATGCCCAAGGGAGTGATCATGCAACTTTTACGTATGCTATATGATTTGTGATCTATGTATAAAAAAATTGATTTTGTAAAATGTAAATTTTTCAAATTGGCAGAAAAACTACCTCATGGATGTGTAAAACTTTTATAAAATAACCGATTTTAGTCATTGAGCTCAACACATAATCTAGCCATTTCAATGATTGCTAATCTAAATGCCTTTAACCGGACCTACACTGGCTGATGGCTTGATGTGTCCCGGCCTCTAAATGATCACTAGTTAGGAGAGAAACATTCTTTCTATGTTAATTTGATCAAAGTCTTGTTTTGTGTCATTTCTAGGCGAAATATTTTGCGTCACATCAACTCCACATACTTGAAGAACTGCACATTCAATCATAAAACAGACCCGCACTGCCCAGTTTTCCGTCTGGGAGACATTGTGACCGAGTCAGGAGAAGACTTCAGTATCATGGCTCTCAAAGTTTGTATCTACAAAAATGATACATATCTGCTGCACTACTGTTATTTATATGCATTACTGTTCAAAGATTTATGGTCGGTCGCTAATTTTTTATTTATCAAGGATGCATTATAAAGATATTAATTTAAAATGTAAATGCTGTTTATTTTATGATTTAAATATATAAAGTATCCTGAAAATAATTAATGCTTAATAATAATATCGATTGCATCATTTATTGTACAGTATGTGCACTCAACTATATAATCTACTGTTTAATATTAGGTACTTACATGATTAGGCTTAACTTTAGGTGTAGGCATTCTCTACTAGTAATTATTATCAAGTTATTTAAATTACTCTAATATGTATAAAGTATGTAAATGCAGCACAGGTTTGTAAAACATAAATTACTACCACTAATGCTTCTAAAGAATCAAATCAGCATATTAAATGATCTGAATAATCATGTGGCACTGAAGAGTGGAATAATAATGCTGAATTGAATTTTAAAATACAGGAAAACAGGACAACTGCTTTAACTTGTAATAATATTTCAAAATAACAATTGTCTTTGTTTAAAAAAATATTAAATTTGGCTGAACACAAACTTGTGAACTGTATTTAGTTTGTTTTACGCAACCCAGGCTCATTCTGAAAACATACCTCTACATATATTTCTAGAGAGCGCCAAATACGTCCTAGGAGCTACGTTTTTTGCAGTTTTTGCGAATCCACCAGGGGCTGCTGTGTACACTTTTTGAGATCTCAAATTTTTCTCACTAATGCCATTCGCACTTGCTGTTCTCGCGTAAATCCACCAGAGGTCGCTGTCAATTGATTGCTTGACAGTCTGATAGACTGACTTACCTTAAACCCAACCAACAGTGTTTTCAAAAGCACAGACTAACCTGCCTAACCACTTTCCTAAACCCAGTGGACAGTTTTAAAAAGCAATCCAGAAAAAGAAAAGCAGATTTTTCAGATTTTACTACATTCTCACTCTGTTAAGGACTTGTTTATTTTATTTTTTGGCTTCTGTTTTTGTTTTACCTGCTTTCTGGACTGTTCTTCACCCAACTCAAACCCCGTCATTGTGGTCAACTCCGCTCTGCATCTGAAGTTCGCCGACATACATGGCGCGCTACTGAACAAACTGGTAACATCGAGAAAGCCATCCATAGGGAAGCGGTCAGCTGGTAAGCCTGAAAAGGACCGGCGTCATACTGCCCCGTATTGTTTGTTTTAAAAAAAGAAATGCAGCCTTGTAGACTTCTGACTACATAATTTGCAAAATGTATAGAGGCGTAGGTTTTCAGAATGAGCCTATGTTGGTTTTACGTGTGTATTTGAGTAGTTCATAATGTGTTTTTTATATATAAATATTTTAAAAGGGTGGCATTATTGGTATTTTCATTGACTGGAGCTGTGACTTGGACTTCAATGAACGCTTCTGTGTTCCCAAGTATTCATTCAGGAGACTCGACAACAAAAATCCTGAAAATAATGTTGCCCCTGGTTACAATTTCAGGTAAAGGAGTTCATTTGATTATCTTTTTAATGATCATTGTAGCATGTTTTGCATCTAAAGCTATCTCTATTTCTAAACGTATCACTATTCGTCCCCACAGATATGCAAAATATTACATGAACAATGAAAACACTGAAACGCGGACACTGATAAAGGCCTTTGGAATCCGCTTTGACGTCATAGTGTTTGGAATGGTTAGTCTGCTACTTTCTATTCATTTGACTTCATAATCAGCATTTTTTTTTTTTTGTCAACCTTCACTCATTGGATTTTTCTGTCTCTTTAGGCTGGTAAATTTAATATTGTGCCCACTATTGTGAACGTTGGTGCCGCTCTTGCCCTTCTTAACCTGGTAAGCACTGGTTAGGTATTTTAATTTAACCACCTATCTACATGAACGCCTCTGATTCAGCTGTGTGTCCTTGCTGTTTCTCAGATGAAGGTCATCTGTGACTGGTTTATGCTTAATTGTTTGAGTGATAGCGAATACTACTCTAAACACAAATTTAAGCATCTCAAACCAAAGGATGAAAGTGAGACATTTGTGAGTAGAAGACTGTTAAACAGTTTTGTTTGTTATGTTCATTATATCATTATATATTTAACTTTTATCACTATATGTATATAAGTACATTATGTTTTTACTGTTATAGAGCTTCACAGACCAGAGCTCCTACGGGACTCCTTGATGGAGTGGAGTGAACACTTAAAAGCATCAAGATGGAAAATATTATTTTCATTTTCATACACTGTCATTCAAATATTTGAGGTTTGCGATATGATTTCAATGTTTTTGGAGGTTTGTTCACCAAAGCAGCATTTTTTGAACAACAATACAACAATAACAAGAAATGTGCTAAATGATGACAATATGGTATCATTATGTCTACAATACACTGAATCCTGCAAGCTGGCATTGTGCTAAATAATGCTAACAACATGTTTACAATGTTAGCAACATGCTAAATCAAGCTCAACTGTGTTTGTAGTAAAATGGTGATTATACAAATAGTCTTCAATTTGCCTAAAACAATGGTTGCACTTTACTATAATGAAAATCATGGTTCATTTTCATGAGGGAACACACAAAACATGCTAACATGCTCATGATAACATGCAAAACATTTCTGATTTGATGAAATGTGTAAGCAACATGCTAAATAAAGTTGAAAACACGTAGCTAGTCTAAGTATAACAACAAACACATTGTTAACAATATGCTAAAATCATGCTAATATTGCTAAATCATGTTAAACTCTATCTATCCATCCATCCATCCAGAGGAGAATCTCCCAGGGTTTGGGTTAAACTTATCTTGCAACATAAACTGAATTGATCTTTTCACACTTACTGATAATTGCTTTTTCTGTCTTGTCTGTTCATCTCCGTAAATCTACTTTGACACATTATGTACTGTACAACATTCTGAAATAAAGATGACTTGAAGATGACAACATTCCATCCACCATGAACGTTTGTTTGCCAAACTTCTGTATCCAGTTAGAAGTGTTTTCTATTATAATAGATGTTAAAATGTAATTGTTCTATTCCTGTGATGGTAATGCTGAATTTTCAGTGTCATGTGATTAGTAAAACTTTACAATATGGGACATGTAGTTAATGTATTTACTAACAAGAATAAATAATGAACAGCGAATTATGTATTATTAATGTATTATTAATATCAATGGCAGTGCTTGTTGACATTAGTAAATTTTCGCAAATTAACATGAAATAACAATGAACAACTGTATTTTCATTAACATTAACAAACATGAAGACAATCTTTAATAAATGTATTGCTCGTTGTTCGTTCGATTTATGAAGTACACAAATTAACATTAAATATGTCTCATATTGTAAAGTGTTACCGCATGATCCTTTAAAAATAATTCTAATATTCTGATTTGATTCACATAAACAAACTGTTATTAATATCAATGTTAAAAGAGATGGATTCCAGGAGACATTTGTTTTCCAGAATTCTTTAATGAATTCAGAAGAACAGCATTTATTTAAAACAAAACTCTTTTGTAACATTATCAGCTGGGTATTATCAGCCAGTTTCGCCACTTAATACTTTTGTCAAATGTTAAGCAGAACAAAATGTTTTTAATTTAATGCATCTTGATTAACATATAGCATATTATTTCAGTTTATGAGTGCACCAGTCACTGTTTACATGGACATCAGTAATCAAAGTAATTATTTGTCTTAATCTGAATAGGACAATAATATGGTTAAGGTGTTTAAATGAGTTGCTTTTTGAATGTTCCTTTCATGATCCTGTTTTACATGTTAAAGCACATAATTCGATTAACGTCATTTCGTCATCACACTATCCACGTGTCCTCCGGAGTTTCATGTAATTTTGGGTGTTAATTTTTAATTTGTCGACCTTAACTGCAGTTTGGCATTTTAACTTTCATTCAGGGACATTTTAGTAGTTTAATGGAATTTGATACCACACACAAACTGGAAGAAAAAAAAACTCAGCATTTCACAGTGTATGTGTCTATGGTCCTTTACTCTGTAGGTGCAGAGAATAGTGTATCCTGTCACAAAATGCGGTGAAAATTCCTACATGACGGTAATAGTTGGATTAAAGTGTTTACATTTCTGCACTAAGCTTCAACAATGTGACTAAAATCTGCATACTCCATGTGTCTAAATCCAATTTCTGTTTAGCTTGATTATGACTTGAGCTGAATTAAGCTAATCAAAAATCGCTGTTTACATGGCTGACTCTTAATCAGAGCATTGTCTTAATCGTATTAAAATCGGATTATTGGTGTCCATGTAAAGGTATTCGGTGTCTTATAACACAATAATTAGCAAATCAGTTTGGCTGTGCATGCTTGACCTCTTGATTCATTTTTAAAGGCATCTGTTTTACTAAAACAATGCATAATACATCATTTGGTATTTCTGCAGGTTAAGGCTTTAAAAGTATCCTATCACATTGCGTATCACAGACTGTAGTTAGTATCATTCCCTTTTAAGCACAATCATAAGGCATTGTCATCCTGATTGATTTCTGACTGATGTCTCATCATTAAATGATTAAAGTCTGTCATCTGTTGACCTCTGTCTGAGACGTTATGACCTGAAACGATCTAAGGCCACGATATGTGCCGTCAGGGCTGGGGTATTCTGCTCTGATCCTCCATATACAGCAGCTGGGTATTACTGGAAGAGCATCTCTGGGTGTGCTGTCTCCAAACCGCCATCTGATGAACTGAGCATAGGCCCCATGACGCAGCTGAGACTCCTCGTGCAGCTCCGCCAGGGGGTCCACAAAGAACAAAGCGTTCTCCAGGACAGAGCGACTGACAATTAGTGATGAAAAGATCGGAGAAGAGGTAATACAGCGGCCTTTCTTCAAACGGCAGCACAGTTGCTCCTGTAAGGTCTCGGCAGGCCGGCAGGAGCCACATTGACACCAGGTCGGAGACGAAGACTGTATGGTCTCCAGTAATGGCGTGTCTGGGTTTTGTCTGCCATTGTGCCTGCTGGAAAGGTTTTCGTCCACTATTAGGCCGCCACTTTGGCCGTTTTGTACAGGCTCACTTCTGCTTTGGCCACATTGCAGGACACTCAACAGAGTCTTCATGCTGGCCAGCTCATTCTGAGAACAGACATGAGGTAATATAGTTCACTTGAACTAAAACAATTTTTAAAATGGTAATTAAAATGAGTGCTAATATATTATAGTGCTAATATAAATTATGGAAAAATAATTTTAGGTATAGTCGGCAATAAAGCATTTTTCATTTTAACGATGTATTACCAGTGTTTCAGCAGATGTCACCAAGTCAAAATTGAGACTTTTTAAGACCATGAAGAATGAAATTTTAGACATATAGGGTTAAATGCTTAGGATTTCTTTAATGGCCCAGCAGAAAAGAAACTCATTCTAATGAGTTATTTCTTAGCCACATATTTTAAAAAATGTGTCAAAACAAGCAAACCTTAGTTCATTCATTAATTTTCCTCAGGTTTATTCTCCATTTTAGAGGTCGCCACAGCAAGGTATAATAGTTTTGGATTTTTTATTAGTTTTAGTTTCGTTTTGGGGCGATGCGGTGGCACAGTAGATAGTGGTGTCGCCTCACAGCAAGAAAGTTGCTGGTTTGAGCCTTGGCTGGGTCAGTTGGCATTTCTGTGTGGAGTTTGTATGTTCTCCCCGCGTACGCGTGGGTTTCCTCCGGGTGCTCCGGTTTCCCCCACAGTCCAAAGACATGTGGCACAGGTGAATTGGGTAAACTAAATTGGCAGTAGTGTATGAGTGTGAATGAGTGTGTGTAGATGTTTCCCAGAGATGGGTTGCAGCTGGAAGGGCATCCGCTGCGTAAAAATTGTGCTGGATAAGTTGGCGGTTCATTCTGCGATGGCGACCCCAGATTAATAAAGGGAATAAGCCGAAAAGAAAATGAATGAATGAATGAACGAGTTTAGTTTTTACTTTTTGTTTTCAAATTTAATTAGGTTGAATTAGCTTTTAGAGGCAGATTTCCATGTTTTTATTCGTTTCAATATTTTGAAATGGCTTAGTTTTAGTTTAGTTTTTATTACTTTCAGTAATAGTTTTAGTTTTTTTTCTAAATAAGCATATTATAAATAATGTATATTAATATAAACTCAACCCTACATTTTTTGAAACGTATTTAGAGGACACAACCACTATCATCTACCACTACCATCTACCCATCCTCTAATTCAAATACAGCGGCCCACAAGATAACACCCTTAAGTAAAATATGTGTGCAAGCCTGCTTCTGAGGTTAAACACACAGTAGTGATGAAAAGTTCAGATCTTTGACGCGAACCTTAAATCTCAAATCTGATCTCAGTGTACTGTTCTAATAACTCTATAACAATATATATTGGTATATTTAGAGTCAGAGGAGATATTAGGCATGTTAAAAAGTAGTTTGTGGATAAGAGTGCTTACTGGAGATGCGAACCGTTTCAAAAGGTTCAGTTCGATTTGGTGAACTAGTTCAACTATTTCACTTAGAAGATGCGGTTAAAAAGATTCATGTATTCGCGATCACTAATAGAGAAAATCTGGGGTAAACTGGAGCACCCGGAGGAAACCCACGCAAACATGGAGAGAGCATGCAAACTCCACACATCAATGCCAACTGGCCCAGCTGTGACTCAAACCAGCGACCATTTTGCTGTGAGACAACAGTGCTAACCACTGAGCCACCGTGCCACCCCATACTTATTCAGTCTTGTGCTGATTAAACTATATTAAAGAATAATCACACAATTTTTGTACTGCGATTTAAATCATTTAAAAACATTCTAACCACTGGGCAAGATTCTAGTGGTTTAAAGGATAAAGTATAAATATTTAAAATCATAAATGGCAGTTATTGAGTATTTTAGAGCTCCACTGTGATCTTTAAATAGCCTTTTAATAATTTATAATTTTTTTCTAAACTACTCTTTTTCTAAACTATTTTTACTCTGAATGGCATTTTACTGACTGTATTTTGTATTTATCTTCAGAAAATCATGGTATAATTCATCATGTTCGTTTAGTTTTGCTTAGTATTATTTTTTGATGCTTGAAATCCCATTTTTGTCCTCGAGACATGCTGACGTTGTGATTAAAATATGCTGAGAAAGCACTCAAGCATGTCAGCCAAAAAAAGGAAATGCTGCTGACTTACCATTTATTGATTTAAGTAAAATAATGGTCGCAAACCAGTGTAAAATATGAATTGACTGACAATATTGCTGGTATAGTACAGTTTATGATTTTAAAAAGTTTTTTTTTTTTTTTTCAATTTTATCCATCACAACACGGGAAATTATGAGTCACATGCAGTGTTTGCAGAGTCTTCTGGGTGCTTTATTACTGTTAAAGTGAGTCACTTTGTACTGGCATGAAGATGAGTAAATGATGACAGAGTCTTTTTTTGGGCAGAATCTTTTATCTTTTAATTTAGTTTAACTAAAAACACAACAAAATCCATTTTGACAGATGCATGGTGCTATATTAATGTTTTCCAATGTAGTCATCACATTTTTTTGTAAACAGCATATAATGAAAACTACAAAGCAAATCCTTCCTTAGCCTCCTAGCTTGTGCAAACATATCCATATAACTGTGATCAGATTTTTCTTAACTGCTGTTTTCTCACCAATGCCATTTTGTCACGTGTTTATGTTGCTATTGAGAGGAAACAGTGAAGAACATACTTGCATGCAGGGCTTTACATTAACACCCGCCAACCCGCCAAATGCGGGTAGATTTCAGCTTTGGCGGGTTAGACAGACACTCCCACTAGCCACTTTGGCTGGTTGAAAATAATTTTTAAATTGTGGTTTTCTTAAAAGCAGGGTTTGACTACAAGAATGACCCAATATGCGTTCAAATGTGATCTTAGAACGGAGAAACAGCACGACTAACAAAAAAATTGCGAGCAGAAGAAAGCAGATGAATACCGAATGAGAGGTTAATCACTCGTGCTAACAGCTGATGTGATGCGCGCGACTGTTTAAAGCGCGTGCGCGCTCCTGTTCCCTTCCTTGAAGCACGCATGCCTGGAACGCAACTGTGATCGGATCTCAGGCAATCGAATAGTCAGGCAAAAGAGTAATGCTAATGCACACACAGTCTTGCTGCTTTCAAGAGCTCCAAGTATGTCTTTTTGTATGCAGCACCGGTTGCTTTCGCTTTGAACAGATTATTAATTGACCTTAACCGTGTTATCATCCTTCCATTATTATAGTATGTTTATCACCTGCTTTCTTTTGCTTATGGTTATTTTTGTTAATATGGTTTAATTATCATTTTTACAACAACATTGCTTTAATATGAGATTAACTCTTCGTTTATGTGTAGTTAACTGGTGAACTGAGAGACCTTTAGCGAGGACAGATTACTCTGCATATTTGTGATACACGACAATAATTCTTTGTAAAAGTCAATTGTTTTTCCTTGGTTGTTTTTAAAGAAATGTTTTGTTAAATAAAAAGTATAGTATACAGCTATATTTAGCTTGTTTTGACACATTTAAAATTTGTGGCTAAGAAATAATTCTTGTTTGGTGTCGTCAGAGATAAATTAGGTAAATCCTTAATTTTAAGTTCTGAAAAGTCATGTCACACATTTGCTCATACACGACACACAAAACGTGAAATGAATGAGGAGGCATGTGGGCATAACACAAAATCTTAATCAAGTAATTTTAGCATGTCAAAGTCATATTTATGCATATAAAAATATTTTCCCAACAACAAAGTTGTGGCTAGTGAAAATGCAGAGTGGCTAGTAACATTGGAAAACTACTAGCCACTGTGGCTGGTGATCAAAAAAGTTAATGTCAAGCCCTGCTTGCATGTAAATCTAAACTGCACATTCGGTACTGTGGATGTGTCTAAATATTCTTTATGAGATTTTCGCTGAAGCATCTTTTTTGTTTCTCATCATTCATTCATTTATTTTCCTTCCGCTTAGTCCCTTTATTCATCAGGGGGTTGCCACGGCTGAATGAATCGCCAATTTATCAAGCGTAAGTTTTACACAGCGAATGCCCTTCCAGCCGCAACCCAATAAATTGCAGGATGCATTTTATTCAACAACCACTGGTGTCACTAATATATGAAGGTAATCCTTATGTCAAATTTAAAACCCACGTAAAATGAATGATAATTAACAAAACCTTTCCAAACCTTTTTTTTAATTATTGATGCATATTCATTCAAATATTTTGCCATGGCACACTGACTGGCGTTGTTCATTGGTCACAGAATTGCAAACTATTGAGTTTTGCTCCTGATTTACCTTCATACTAATAATCAAGATATAACTTTGATGTTATATCTTATATAAAATATATCATTACTTTGAGTGTGTATAATGTGAGTGAAAATATAACAGAAGGATCTTACTTTGCGCTGGTGTAAAGAAAGGGGTTTTGTCTCCTGTAGTCTTTTCTTTCGGGATTTTTTCACCACTCTTAAATTGTCCTCGTCCACAAATGACACACAAAGGAAGCACTGCAACAAACACAAAACCCCTGGTTAGATGCCTGCATACAAAATCCCAATAAAAGCTTTAAATGTGTCTGTTTAAAGCACTAACTGTATTTTAAGGGATGGTTCACCACAAAATGAAAAGAAATACTCACCATTTACTCACCGTAAATTTCAAATTTCAAACCTTTATGAGTAACTTTTTTTTTTTTTTTTTGCTGAACACAACAGAAGATATTTTAAAGAATGTTGATAACCATTGACATCCATAGGTGACTTTTCATCCTAATGTGAAGCATTCATTTATAGGTTTTCCTTCGCTTTACTCTTTTTTTAAGGGTTGCCTCAGCAGAATAAGCCACCAACTATTCCGGCATACGCTTTATGCAGCGGATGCCCTTTAAGCCCAAACCCAGTACTAGAACACACAGATACAAACTCAACTGGAGCACCAGGAGAAAACCCACACAAACAAGAGGAGAACATGCAAACTCCACACAGAAATACCAACTGACCCAGCTAAGACTTAAACCAGTAACCTTCTTGCTGTGAGTTGACAATGCTAACCACTGAGCCACTGTGCCGCCCTTACGTGAAGCAAATATTTTCAAATGTTTGCAAAAAAATTGTAAAACCCCAATGTGAATTAGATGTGTTTTAGAGTAGCCGACTATAGTATTGGTAACCTAGTAACAAAAAGTAAACAAGGCAAGCAAAATGGCTTCACATGGGTGTAATTTTCATTAAGTCAGAAGCTGCGTCCCAAATGGCACACTATACACTATGCACTCATGCAGTATGTACTTATGCACTTACACACTCAACAGCATAGTATATGTAGTGTCGACACAAATGGAGCACTAGTGTTTTTTTTTTTACTAAACGGAAATTCAAACAATTTGGGACGCACCTTTACTTTATTTAGCAAATGTGTTTCCATCTCTCATTACTCATGTTATACATTTTACACTTACAACCTTTTACGCATTTTTATTCATAATTTGGCAGTTCTATCCCTCGTTTCTCATGAAATACTTCAAAATGCGCATTTGGAATGGAAAAACAGCTACTGTATGGATATCAATGGATACCTGTTTCAAACATTCTTCAAAATAACTTCTTTAAGTCTGTGTCAATAGCCTAGTGGTTAGGTGTGTCAACATATAGCTCACGACGATCTGAGTTAGATTCCTTTGCCGATCCTTCCCTTCTCTCCATTATTTCCTGTTAATACTCTACACTGCTTAATCCATTTAGGGTTAAAGATAACTTCTTGAAGAAAAAACTTGAAGAAAAAATCTGTGAACTAAAGTGAACATTAACGTGTTCACCTCTTCTCGGTCTTGAACGGCCTCAAACTTCCTCTCGGTGTAGTTCTGTTTTGCCTCTTTGGAGTAACAGCCGGTACCAATAAGCCAGTCCAGAAATATAGTTGTCTAAATAAAATTCAATAGTAAATAAATAATTTTACACTTTTTTACAAAAATTTTTTGCGAGACACTGTCTGTGGGTTTACTCACAATAGCATAATACGAGAGCGTAGACCCAATGTAGATGATTAGCTGAATGATGCTGAACTTTCCAGCCTGTGAAGAATATAGAAAGCTAATTATGTGAATCCTTATGCTAAAACTAACATGCAAAGTAACATGACCGTATGGAATCATATAGTCTCACCTTCCCAAACACCATCACATCAAACCTAATGCCATACATTTTGAAGAGAGTGCGCTGTTCCACGCCATTCACCGTTGAGTATCTCGCAAACCTATTAAATGATATCTATGAGAAAGGAGCGTTTAAGAGATGACATGCTTTTTAAGAGGATTTGGGTTGTTCACACCTGAAGTTGAGTCCAGGGTACAGGGTTCGGTTGCTTTCTTTTTCATCCAGGCGACGGAAGGAGTATTTGGGTAAACAGCTGTGAAAGAAGCGGTTCAGGTCACAGTCCCAGTTGATCTGGATCCCAATCACACCACCCTGTGAAGAAGATGCTGATAGTTATGATGAGACAACAGACAAGACTAGCCTAAACATTTGTTCTTTTTGTTTAGTACTTAAAGAACCATAACTAAATTAAGTAGTTTTCTTGTTTTTTATCTTCAGCATTTCTAGTTTTATCTCTTGTTTGTTTCAATGTGTTTGTGTGTCAGTTATTATTATTAGCTCAATTTAAAAACTAATTTTTAATGTCTTTGCCATGATTAAAGTACACAATAAAGTACATTAGTTGTTTTGCAAGATACTAGTATTCAGCTTAAAGTGCAATTTAAAGGCTTAACTAGATTAATTAGGCGAACTAGGTTAATTAGGCAAGTCATTGGACAACATTGGTTTGTTCTGTAGGCCAGTGCATCCCAACCCTGTTCCTGGAGGCACACCAATAGTAGGGATGTCCAGATCTGATCACGTGATCAAAAATAGGGCCCGATCACATGTTATCGATCAGGACTCAAATAAAAATGTATGTGTGTGTGTATGTGTGTATTCTTAGTCCCTTTATAAATCCGGGGTCGCCACAGCGGAATGAACCGCCAACTTATCCAGCAAGTTTTTACGCAGCGGATGCCCTTCCAGCTGCAACCCATGTCTGGGAAACATCCACACACAGATTCACACACACACTCATACACTATGGACAATTTGGCCAACCCAATTCACCTGTACCGCATGTCTTTGGACAGGAAACCCACGCGAAGACAGGGTGAACATGCAAACTCCACACAGATACGCCAACTGAGCCGAGGTTCGAACCAGCGATCCAGCGACCTTCTTGCTGTGAGGCGACAGCTCTACCTACTGCGCCACTGCCTCGCCCTGTTGCAGAGACTCTATTGATTAAATGCCGGCAAAGAAGAACACGGAGACAGCTTGAAGCGGAAAGCGCGAGTATGTCTGTGGTTTGGAGGTATTATAAAGTTGATGACGACAACATTGCCATTGCCAACATTGCCATTGTGAGATATGTAAACTTGGCATTGCGAGAAGTGGAAAGGACAAACCTGATAAGACACCTCAAAAACAAATGTAGAACCCCAATGTGAAATACCGTCTCACCATTATTTTACAAAAAAGCTCTGCCGGCTCTTTATAAGAAGATTTCTGACAAACTATTTGTCCTGTTACAAGATGTACCCCATGTTTTGTCACCACAGACATATGGATTTTGTCCGTAGCTCCCATGTCTCTACTAAGCCTTTATGTATTATAATAGTATCGGATCAGGTTTCAGTATCGGTAGAAACTCAAAATCAAATGACTCGAGGGCAAAAAAAACCTGATAGGGACATATTTTGGATGTCTCCTTTAGCTGACCCATTCATTTCAGGTTTTGGAATCTCTTTTAATGGTCTGATGAGTTGAATCAGTAGTGTTTGATTAGGAAGAGGTTGAAAATGTGTACTATTGGTGTGGCTTCAGGAACAGGGTTGGGAAACACTGCTTTAGGCAATCGAAACATATAATCTCTTAAGTAAGATATAATATACGAAAAATATAATTTCTAAAATAATAGTTTCTAATAATTTTGATCTCAGCAGTTTTCACATTTTACAAATATTTATTTATTTATATATAGTTGAAGTCAGAAATATTAGCCCTCCTAAATTTTTAGCTCCCCTGTATATCCCCCCCATCCCCCCACCCCAATTTCTGACAGTTTGTTTTATAGACAATCAAAAAAATATTGCTTAAGGGGCCTAATAATATTGGCCTTAAAGTGTTTTTTTTTATTTATAAGAACTGCTTTTATTCTAGCTGAAATAAAACAAATAATAATTTTTCCAGAAGAAAAAAAATATCATAGGACATTCTGTGAAAAATTCCTTGCTTTTTTTAAACAATAAATATTTGAAAAAGAAATCACTGGAAGGCTAATATTTGAGAAAATATATATAGTTAAGATCAGAATTATTAGCTCTCCTTTGATTTTTTTTTTTTTTTAATATTTTTAGTTTAACAGAGCTAGGACATTTTCACAGTAAGTCTCATAGTATTTTTTCTGTTGGAGAAAGTTTTATTTTGGCTAGAAAAAGCAATTTAATTTTTTAAAACAATTTTAAGGACAAAATGATTAGCCCCTTTAAGCTCTATATTTTTTCGACAGTCTACAGAACAAAACATCATTATACAATAACTTGCCTAATTATTCTAACCTGCCTAGTTAACCTAACGTACCTAGTTAAGCCTTTAAATGTCAGTTTGAACTGTATAGAAGTGTCTTGAAAAATATATAGTCAAATTATATTTACTGTCATCATGGCAAAGTGCGAGGCCGTGGCGCAGTAGGTAGTGCTGTCGCCTCACAGCAAGAAAGTCTATGGGTTGCTGGTTCGAACCTCGGCTCAGTTGGCGTTTCTGTGTGGAGTTTGCATGTTCTCCCTGCCATTGCCTGGGTTTCCTCCGGGTGCTTTGGTTTCCCCCACAGTCCAAAGACATGTGGTACAGGTGAATTGGGTAGGCTAAATTGTCCGTAGTGTATGAGTGTGTGTGTGTGTGGATGTTTCCCAGAGATGGGTTGCAGCTGGAAAGGCATCCGCTGCGTAAAAACTTCCTGGATAAGTTGGCGGTTCATTCCGCTGTGGCGACCCCGGATTATTAAAGGGACTAAGCCGACAAGAAAATGAATGAATGAATGAATCATGGCAAAGATAAAATAAATCCGTTATTAGAGATGAGTTATTAAAAATATTATGTTTAGAATGTGTTGAAAAAATCTGCTCTCAGTTAAACAGAAATTCAGGGGGGCTAATAATTCTGACTTCAATTGTACAAATATATGTTGATTGACATCAATAGTCCCTTACTAGTTTATTTCTTAATATTCTTCTTACCTCCACTGCCATCTCTGAAAACTTCTCCTTGGCTTCAGCCACAATGTCTCCCAGTCTGAATATGGGGCAGTATGGATTTTTGTAGCGGTGATAGATGCAGCCTTTAAAGTCAGTGTCCTTCATTTCAGACAAGATGTTTCTCCTAAATCAAAAATATTCAAGTTTTAAAAGTGGTGTGAACAGTACAGCTGTCAAATAGATAAACAGTTCTCCAGTCTCCGGCGCCTAGACTGCAGTTCTGCACAGGAAGTTTGGCCAGAGAAGAAATGAGTGTGCCCAACTGAGCCTGGTTTCTCTCAAGGTTTTTTTTCCTTAACTTTCGTCAATTGGTAAAGTTTTGTTCCTTCCCAATGTTGCCACTGTATTGCTTGGTTTGGGACACGTGGAGCTGCTTGTTTGGACTTTCAGCAGTGAAATTTAAACCATACTGATCTGAACTAAACTGAACTTCAACTGTGAAAACTGGACTGACACAGTTTCAGTTTACTAGAACTTCTATGTTAAGCTGTTTTGACACAACCTACATTGTAAAATCGCTATAGAAATAAAGATTAATTGAATTGAAAGAAATATAGTTAATCTGCAGTAGGCATGGGGCGATAACCGGTTTGAAGGTATACCGCGGTTCTAAAAAGTCAAGGTTTTAAAACCGTTAAAATTTTCTGTTATACCGTTCCTAAGGTATTTATAAGTTATTATTTTTTACAACTATTTTATTGAGTTTATTAGGGCAACATCAGAATAAGACCCTCCACATTACAAGCTACTGGTCAGTCCATGATTCAGGAAATATCTGAAAAACAAATCTCTTATAAACTAACATCCAACATGCTGTAGTGCTTAACAGTGCAGTGGCTTTACTTTATATCCAAAGAAAAGAAAGATATCCAATGATGCGTTTTCATGTTGAAAAGAAATCGGTTTTTGAAACTAATAAATACAGCAGAAGTCAATGACTTATTCGAATTAATTAGGTTGACATGTTTAAATATTAAAATATATATATTTATCATGTTCAATAGGATTGTTTTTTTACCAAGACTTTTAAAAAGAACTTGTTTTAGAGCAGTAATCACAATACCGTGAAATCGCAAAACCGTGATATTTTTACCCAAGGTTATTATACCATCAGAATCTTATACCGGCTCATGCCTAATCTGCAGTTATACAGTATAATGTACTTTTTTCTAATTTTGTACTAATTTTTATTACTGAGTTTTTGTAACATGGTGTGTTTATAAAAAAGTGTCTGGTGCATATGAAGAGGAAAGTGTTTCATACAAGTGGTTTGTCAAGCCCACTCAACTGTGTTTCAATGTACAATGCTTTGAGGTGCTTTCAACAGGCATTTATGTGGTGGTAGGGATTAATATAAAAAGATGATTAAATAATCAGTTTAAATTATTACCCTGGGCTTTCTTCAGGTTAATAACCTCAAATACTGCTTATGAGTTTCTTATTAGTGTTTGAAAGTGTATATGAATAACAGTTCATGAGTTATATCAGTGTATAAACATCTGTAGAGTAATTAAAATAACGTTTTCTGTGTTAAAAGTAAAATACCTTATGTAGTTAAATGCTGGAAATCTGATGTTATTCTTGATCATCACAGTGAAATTTTCTGCTGCAGCCAAAAGAGCAGGTCTGGGGAGAGAGAAATGAAAGTGTGACATTAGAACATATCTGTATATAGAATCTCAGTTTATATGAAAGTGCCACATTAAAGGGAAACTTCCTCAAATGGGTTCCTCAAAAGTCTCTGGCAGCACTGCAGATTTACTTATTTTGGGGCAAAGCTGATGATGAACTGGTCTTTGTTGACAAAGAGCTTTACTTGCAAATGTCCATGTCAGTGTATTTATAATTGTTTGCACAAATAACGTAACTGTTTCTATATTAATACCTTACCTTTAGATATTCCATACAATGAACTGTATAATATATATATATATTTATGGAATATTGAGCTAATGAAAACAGATGTGAATTATACTGATAGCTTTTGTGTGTAAAATGCCACATTATTTAATACCACATCTCTCATATATTCCCCAGTACTGGGTTGTGGCTGGAAGGGCATTTGGTGCATAAAACAAATGCTGGAATAGTTGGCGGTTCATTCCGCTGTGGTGACCCCTAATATATAAGGAACTAACCCAAAGAAAAATGAAGGAAATTAAATCTCTTATACAATAAATGTCACAGACATTCATCATAATTATAATTTTGTGCTCCACAAATTATCTATTTATCACACTGTAAAATGGCACCTGGGATTCTTCTTGTTCTCAATAGGGCACCAAGCTGTAACTTCACATGTTTTCTTTAGTATCTCCAACTTCACGCAGGCACCTGTCTGAACACCTTAAAAAAACACTAAGATAAACATCAGAGCGCACATACTTATGTCTTTTAATATTCAAATTCAATTACATTTAATTTCTTATCAAATTTTAATTGGTATGACCAAAATGAAAAAGTTACCATGGTTTTAAGACAAATAAAATAAAAATACATGATTTGTTTCATTTAAACATTGTAGCCACAAATTCAGCAAAGTTTTGCTTGACTAACCATTGTTTAACCGTAGTATATGTAGTAAAACTTTAGTTATGTGAATCGTAGTCAATGCATAAAAAACAAACATTGTTATTAGACTTTACTACAATATAAAACCATAGTTCATTTTAGAAATGCATAATCTAATGCTTCCTAAAGCACATGCAATGCTACTTTACAGTATATATTGTAACCTTACCATGGCTATGCTGGTCAGAAAACCCTTTTTCACAGTCTTTATCTGTTCGACACAGCTTCCCGTTTGGAAGGATCTGAAGAGTGAGCATAGAACTGCTTAACTTTGCCTTAAAAGGACAGTGGCTATAAGGTACCACAATGAAAACAAACATCATAAACTCACGCTGAAATAAAACTGCACTTACCTCTGCGCAGTTACCTTGTTTTTGGTTCTTTGTGACAATTGCATTTGTTGCAACGAAAAATGAGTTCTTTCCCTGCCAAAATAAAATAAAAGGGTCATTCCATGTCAACTCATCCAGAGGTCTGCAGCTTATATTTTATATTTTGCTAAAAAATATTTAAAAGAAAGCCAAAATATGAAATGTCATAGATGCATATTTACTGAATAATCTACTATTTTGTAGGGGAGAATTTTTCACCTGAGATTTGGTGCAAAAGTAAAAGGTATGTACAATTTAGAAAAATGTCAGCAATATTTTGTTATTTTTAGACATAAATGAGAAGGTCTGTTAGTAAAACCTTTTGATTTAAGCAATTTTTGTTACATTGTATATGCGTGCCAAACATTACACTTAAAATACTGGGAAAAAAACTTTGCATAGGTGCGTCAAGAAATAAAAAAATAATAAATGTAATGAAATAAATAATAAATAAATATAATTTATTATAATTAAATATATTAATAATTCCTGGTTCTATTTACCTGAGATGGTCCACTGTAATCCACCACATCCCACACAACGTCTGTAACAGACTTAAGGTGTTATCTTGCATTTCTTCATGTTTAAAGATCATTTAATTTCTATTATTTGTGGGGGACTTTTATTTTGAAAGGAAATCCGTTTTTCAGAGCAGAAAATAAATGAGAGAGCAGAAGGTAAAGCGGACGTTTCATAACAGTTTAACTAGAGCTCGTACTGAAAAGGACTGTTTACAAGTTTAATCAGCAACCCCCCGAAAAGGCATAAGGTTTGTTTCATCATATATTGTTAGTGAGAAATACATATTTTGTGAAGATATCTAAGAATGCTGATGTATGTTTTTGTATTGTTTTGCTCAGCTCTTACGGTGATTTCAAGAGTAAAGGAATGTAAATAAAGCAACTTGAAACATCAGTAAAGTTTCGGCCATCATTCGGATGGGGTCTGCTACAGTAAGAGCTTCACCTTCGCTGATTAAGATCCTCGCGGCAGGCGCAGGCGGACGGATATAACGCGACGACGGAAAGGGCATTGCAGTGAGTTATAATCAGCATAGAGCGTGATGGTCTACGGAGCTGAGACGTAAAAGGGTACGAGTTCAATATGGAAATGGATGAAGATGACCAAGAATCTGAGAGGCCGCTCCAAATGGAAAATGAAGGTAATATGGAAACAGATATAAAAGGAGCAATTGAACAAAAAGACAAAAATACATCAGAAGAACAGTGTCATGTACAAGAGAGCACAGAACTCCCTCGACGTTCAGAACGTTCTCGTATACCAACAGAGAAAATGCTTGCTTATCAAAAAGAGGAATGTAGAAAGAAAGAAAAAAAATTAACTACTTTGTATGAACAATGGAAGTTAGATGCTCGTAAAGCAAGGCAGGATTTAAAAACTGACATATCTGACAAGCAGCTTGCAGATATCGCTGATTCACTTGAGGATAAAAGGAATGGTATCATGAAAATCTTCATCGATATAAGGGAATTTATTACTCCTGCTGCTGACTTAAGACGTAAAATCGATGCATGTGATGCTGTGACCAATGACATTGTCAAAATAGTGTTGGAAAAAATATCAAATGTAGATGATGAGTATGATGCAGAAAGAGAAAGGGGGCGTCTAAGTGAACTTTTAGCACACAGTTACGCTCGCTCTATATTTGGTTCCAGTGCTTCACTAATGAGTGTCAACAGCCATTCTGGATCCTCTCGTACAGCAAGAAAACGAGCAGACGCTGCAGCAGAGCTGGCTGCAAAGGAGGCTGAATACAAGATGATGCAAGCAGAAAGGCAACAAAAGGAAAAATTAAGAAATATAGAAGAGCAATTCAAAAAAGAGTTAGAAACTCAAAGGTTTGAACTGGAATGTTTGCAAGTAGAAAAGGATATAGAGGTTGCTCGTGCCAGAGTAAAATCCTATGATGAAGAAATAAAGGAGGAAACAAGAAATCAGTCAATAAAAAGTGAAAAGCAGGGGCCGACAAATGAAAGGCAGCTTCAGGAATCTTATGTTCTTCAGTCAGCATCGCTCAGTGAAGTGTCTCACCTTGCTCAAGCAGTTCAGGACAGCATAGCCATAAACAGGTTACCCCTACCTGAGCCTACAGTGTTCAACGGAGACCCAATACAGTTTGTGGAATGGAAGTCATCATTTATGTTATTAATAGGTAAAAAGGGCATTTCAGCAGCTGACAAGCTTTATTATTTGAAAAAGTATGTGAGTGGCTCAGCGCATAGGTATCTTGAGGGCACCTTTTATCGAAATGATGAAGAAGCGTACAAAGACGCTTGGGACAAGCTTAATAAAAGGTACGGCCAGCCCTTTGTTATACAAAGAGCGTTTAGAGAAAAGCTGTCTAAGTGGCCTAAAATACAGTCCAAAGACGCAGAAGGTTTGAGAACATTTTCAGACTTTTTAAATGCATGTTTGCAAGCCATACCACATGTAAAAGGTCTGGAAATATTAAATGACTGTGAAGAAAACCAGAAGCTGGTGCAAAAACTACCTGACTGGGTAGCTTCCAGATGGAACCGTCAGGTCACAAAAACCCTTATGGATGACAAAGAGTTTCCAAGTTTCCATGACTTTGTCAATTTCATGACAACAGAAGCAGAAATTATGTGTAATCCCATCACTTCTTTACATGCTCTTCATTCATGCGAGTCACCTTATGAGAGAAGAATGTCAAAGGAAACTAAAAGAAGTAAAGCAATTGTTTTTAAGACACAAACAAGTGTAAACAATGACACACAATCAACAGTCAAAGGAAAGTTTACAGTGACTAAAACACAGTGTATGTTGTGTCAGGATGACAGTCATCAACTTCATAAGTGTCTGAAATTCATGGAGAAGTCTCTGAAAGACAGAAGAGCCTATGTGAAAGATAACAAACTCTGCTACGGGTGTTTAAAATCGTCCCACCATGCTAAGGAGTGTCGTCGTCGACACACATGTGATGTATGCAAGTTACGACATCCCACATGTCTTCATGATTACAATTATGACAAGGACGGAATCAGAGAACGACCATTGCCCATGGTAAGCAATGTGCATGCAACTGAAAGTGAAACTACTAATGCCATGTCACTTAATATCACAAGAGAAAGTCAGTCAGTCATTACATCGATGATCGTACCAGTATGGGTGTCTTCAGTTAAAAATCCATCCAACGAACAGCTTGTGTATGCATTGCTAGATACACAGAGTGACACTACATTTATTGATGAAGACATTAGTAATACACTGCAAGTAGAGAGTCACCCAGTGAAACTCAAACTAACCACCATGATGGGAGACAATGAGATTATTAGAAGCAATCGAGTAACGGATCTTCAAGTGAGAGGGTACAGTTCCTCAGTACATATCAGTCTTCCTCCTGTATACACAAAGGAGTGTATTCCAGCTAATTATGATCACATACCAACACAGAAAACGGCAATGAACTGGAGTCACTTGAAAGGAATTGCTGACGAAATGGCACCTCTACTCAATTGTGAAGTAGGCTTACTACTTGGCTATAACTGCCCTAGAGTGCTAGCTCCAAGACAAGTCATACTAGGTAAAAATGAGGAACCATATGCAATTTTAACAGATTTAGGGTGGAGTATTGTGGGCTGCTCCATACCAAGTATCAATGAATCAACAGGGTTCAGTCTTTGTCAAAGGATAGCTACAAAGGAGATACCAGCTATGACACCTGGGGATGCAGTCCGTATACTTGAATCAGACTTTAAGGACATCACAGTAAATGACAAGACAGTCTCTCAAGAGGACATCATGTTCCTAGACAAACTTTAAGTAGGAATAAAGAAAAATTATCTAGGACATTATGAAATGCCTCTTCCATTTAAGCAACGACCATCCTTGCCGGACAACAGAGAACTTGCATCAATCAGACTCCAACATCTGAACAAGAAGTTTTCCAAAAATGAGAAATACAAAACAGACTACTTCACTTACATGAATGACATTATTGACAGAGGTGATGCAGAAGTGGTAAATGATGAGGGAACCAGTGGTGAAAAATGGTACATACCTCACCATGGGATCTACCACCCAAAAAAGCCAGATAAGCTACGGGTTGTATTCGATTGCTCTGCAAAATTCAAAGGTACAAGTCTCAATGAACATTTACTATCAGGACCAGACATGATAAACAACCTCACAGGAGTCCTTGTAAGGTTCAGAAGGCATCCTATTGCAGTGATATGTGACATTGAAAAAATGTTTCACCAATTTCACGTTCAGGAAAAGGATCGTGATTATCTGCGCTTCTTATGGTGGAAAGATGGAGACACAAATTCAGTTCTTCAAGATTACAGAATGAAAGTGCATCTATTTGGTGCAGTCTCTTCGCCCGGTTGTGCAAACTATGGGCTAAGATATTTAGCCAATGAGTACAGCCAATCACACGCATTAGGCGCTCAGTTCATCACAAGGGATTTTTATGTTGATGATGGAGTTACAAGTGCAGAAACAGTAGAAAAGGCTATACAGTTGACAAAGGAAGCACGGGAGCTGTGTGCAAAGGGTGGTCTTCGACTTCACAAGTTCGTATCAAATGACAACACAGTTTTGCAAAGCATACCAGAATCAGAACGTGCTGTAAACTTTGAAACGAAAGATCTCACCTTCAATGAAATGCCACTCGAAAGAGCTCTGGGAATTCACTGGAACATACAGAGTGATAGTTTCAAATTCCATGTTCCATTAAAGGGTCAGCCTACAACACGTCGTGGCATATTATCCACTGTTGCCTCCATATTTGATCCTTTGGGATTTGTAGCTCCATTTGTTCTCAATGGCAAGAGAATCCTACAGGAAATGTGTCGCCAAGGAACTGGCTGGGATGATACACTTTACCCTGCACTCAAGCCACGGTGGGAGAGATGGCACAATGACCTTGTCAATCTAGAAAATGTGAACATACCACGATGTTATGTACCTGCTGATTTCGGAAAAGTAGTGAAAACAGAAATGCATCATTTCTCAGATGCGAGTACCTGTGGTTACGGTCAATGTTCTTATCTGAGGATGATAAATGAGGATGATGAAATTCATTGCTCTTTTCTTATTGGCAAAGCCCGGGTTTCTCCTTTAAAGATTATCACAATACCCAGGTTAGAGCTAACTGCAGCTGTAGTATCAGTCAGTATGAGCAATATACTCAGAGAAGAGCTTAACCTCATTGATGTCGACGAATTCTTTTGGACTGACTCAAAGGTAGTTTTGGGTTACATTAATAACGATGCCCGTCGTTTCCACACATTTGTAGCCAATAGAGTCCAAAAAATACGTCAAAGTACAACACCCAATCAATGGCTGTATGTCCCAACAGATGAAAACCCAGCAGACAACGCTTCAAGAGGGAGAACAATCAATGAGCTGCTTTCATCTAATTGGTTCTCTGGGCCTTCATTTTTGTGGGAAAAGGAAATAACAACCACAAATGTTGTGCCAGACCTCCCAGTCGGAGATCCAGAGGTAAAGAAAATTCAGACATTACACACAAAGACCATGGAAAATAAAGATCTTGTAGACCGATTGTCCAAGTTCTCATCGTGGTCTAAGACTATCAAAGCTGTTGCACGCCTTCTGAGATGGATTAAGAAAGATAAAACCAATTCACCAGCATCCGTAAGTGAACAAGAAGATGCTAAATGCTTGATTCTAAAAGGAGTACAAAGGCAAGTGTATCAGAAAGAGATTGAAGTGTTGAGTCAAGGAAAAAGACTTCCAAGTCACAGTAAACTTCATCATCTGGATGCCTTTATAGACAAAGATGGTATAATCAAGGTGGGAGGCAGATTAGATCACTCATCATATACTCACGCATTCAAGCATCCATGGATCCTGCCAAAGGAACACCATGTTACAAAGTTGATTATTGCACACTGCCATGAATGTGTAAAGCATCAAGGCAAGGGTTTCACAATCAATAATATCAGATCATGCGGCTATTGGATACCTGGAATAAACAGAGTGGTCACATCTTACATTCTCAACTGTGTGACTTGCAGAAGGATGAGAAGATCTGCTGAAGGCCAGAGGATGAGTGATCTCCCCTCAGAACGTGTAGAGCCTTCGCCGCCTTTTATGTATTGTGGCATGGACTGCTTTGGTCCATTCATGACTAAAGAAGGGAGAAAACATCACAAGAGGTACGGTCTGCTTCTAACATGCTTGTGTTCAAGAGCTATTCATATTGAAATGTTAGAAGACATGTCGACGGATGCATTTATTAACAGTCTGAGATGCTTTATTGCAATTCGAGGCACAGTAAGGCAAATAAAATGTGACCAAGGTACCAATTTCATAGGCGCAAAGAATGAATTGAATTCAGCATTGCAAGAACTCGATCCAGAACGCCTCACAACTTTTCTTGCAAACAAACAATGTGACTTTGTTTTGAATGCTCCTCATTCCAGTCATGCAGGGGGTGTATGGGAGCGTCAAATCAAAACTGTCCGGAGCGTTCTTAATGCTACCATCACCCTTTCAGCAGGCAGGCTTAATGATGCCTCATTGCGCACTGTATTTTACGAAGCCATGGCAGTAGTCAATAGTCGCCCTCTTACGATTGACAATCTGAATGACCCCAAGAGCTTAGAACCACTCACACCCAATCATCTGATAACCATGAAGCCCACCACAGCATTGCCTCCACCAGGAAAGTTCATTAGAGAGGATATGTATACAAAAAAGAGATGGAGACGTGTGCAGTACCTTACTGAACAGTTTTGGAGCAGATGGAAAAAGGAGTATCTACACAATATCATTGCAAGGCAACGCTGGCATGCTCCAAAAAGGAACCTTCAAATTGGTGATGTGGTCATGGATATAGAAGAAACATTGCCTAGGAGTGAATGGAGACTAGGGAGAATTATAGAGACTGTTCTGAGCCCGGATGGACTTGTAAGAAAAGCCAAAGTAGCACTTGGCGACAAGAGATTAAACAAGAAAGGAGAAAGAATGCATAAAATCTCAATAGTAGATAGACCCGCTCAAAAGTTGGTCTTGTTGTTGGAAGCAGAGTGAATGCATTTTCAATGGGACTTTATTGCACTTTATACACTTCCAAAGAGGGTTATAATTGGAAATTAGTTATGTTTGAGGAACATTGATAATTTGGTGGGAGTGTAACAGACTTAAGGTGTTATCTTGCATTTCTTCATGTTTAAAGATCATTTAATTTCTATTATTTGTGGGGGACTTTTATTTTGAAAGGAAATCCGTTTTTCAGAGCAGAAAATAAATGAGAGAGCAGAAGGTAAAGCGGACGTTTCATAACAGTTTAACTAGAGCTCGTACTGAAAAGGACTGTTTACAAGTTTAATCAGCAACCCCCCGAAAAGGCATAAGGTTTGTTTCATCATATATTGTTAGTGAGAAATACATATTTTGTGAAGATATCTAAGAATGCTGATGTATGTTTTTGTATTGTTTTGCTCAGCTCTTACGGTGATTTCAAGAGTAAAGGAATGTAAATAAAGCAACTTGAAACATCAGTAAAGTTTCGGCCATCATTCGGATGGGGTCTGCTACAACGTCTCCAACTTCTGGTAAGGTAATCTTTGCAACTCCCTTAACCTTTGTGGTGACAGAACTCACTACAAAATCATACTCCTGGTATTCTTTATTCCATAACATCATGATACTGGAAAGTAAAGACATTTAAGACTGGCTTGAGACACCAAATGAGGAAGTTATATCAATGATATAAATTGTAATTACATGGTACAATTGTAACCAAAATTCATCAATATTTTTGTTACACTAAGTTTTTAGCATATTTTTGTAGTAACACCGTGGTAAATCAAATAGGCTAGTTTGTTTACAAAAAAAACATTGTTTCTACACTTTTACTATAATAAAACCATTGTTAATTTTGTGGGTTCAACACTTAAACACAACATAATATGTGTGGAAAAAAGGCACATTGGCAAAGAATGTACATGAATGAGCTCTTGTTGGACGATGTGGGGGCGACATATGGAGAAACACTTACCAAATGAACATCAAGATCACTCCGTTTAACGTCCATTTCAGTGAGCCAAGTTTCACACTCTTGATTTTGACGAGTTTTTGCGTGTCGTATTCACAGAGGTTCAGCAAAACGCAAGGCATGGCGGTGATTTTGTAAACAGAGGGGAAGGACAGAAGCGATGACTGCGGAGTGCTGCTGTGCAGAGCTCGAGCACTAGAAGAAGAAGGTCACATGGTCAAGGGAGGACAGTTACAGTGCCATAATAATACACTCGTTCTTAGGGCGGAGAACGAGATACACTGAGTGTGTTGTGTTCAAATTGACTTAGCATTCATGCAGACCTTCATCTTGGGATCATGTTAGGATGCAAAAGTGATTGAAATGAATTGAAAAATTATTCTAGCGATTGTATTTGTCTGCTACAGGCAGCTATGGGGAAATGAAGAGTCCACTTGAAATTCGTTGTTTCTCTGGAGTATTTTGTTCGGTCTCAACTTTTCTTCTCAAATTTAAATAAAACATTGTTGTTTAAGATGCATTTATCTTCCTGAGAATAACAATTGATAAGAATAATTAATGTTTTTAAATTTGATCCACCAAATATTGCTTTCTTAACTCTTCTGAAATTTAATCATTGAATAAAGAGAAATAAATAAAGAAAGAAAAAATATATACATATATATATATATATATATATATATATATATATATATATATATATATATATATATATATATATATATATATATATATATATATATATATATATATATATATATATATATATATAATTCCCACTTATTTTCAGTGTAAAACATTCTGCTCGAAATCTTTTATATTTGAAATGATACAGACTAAAATATAGAGATGATTGACTTCAAACAACACCACAGTGAATACATTACATTTTCAGTTTTTACAGTACACTTTTTGGTGTTTTTTGTGTAAATTGCAGTTCTTGCAGGCTTTTTGGTAACTGTGCAATACATTCATAAAGAGATCCTTTATGTGGCTTACTTGTCCCATGGCTTGAGTCGTTCTGACACCCATATTGTTTTAAAATTCAGATTGTGGGCCTGTGTATGACTATTACAAATTTACAATTTGCTTGAAATAGATTTTTAAAAAATTCAGTTTTGCAGTTTTATATACTCTCTTTTAAATCAAGGACGATGATGTTTAGTAGAAGTCATCCCAGCAGGCACATAGCATCATAAGATGTCAACATTGGATTAGATTTAGGTCATAACGTCAGGTGAACAAAATTCAATGTCTAGCCAGCATCTAAGGACACATTATTTTGATGTCCAATAGGCTAACAACGTCAAATTACGTTGTTATTTAGGTTGATTTTAGGTTGTGCTGGAAATTGACTGAAATCCAACATCTGATAGATGTCATGGTGGTAACGTCCATGCATCAAGGTGTAGCATGATTAGACGTTGGTATTTGGTTGATTTTATGTTGGACATTGACATCAGCCTGATGTTGGGTTCTGATGTCAACTTGATTTTTATTTCCATACATAATCCAGCGTCCACACAACGTTGGGGTACGTTAGGGTACAACATCAAAATAGCGTCATGTTGACGTCCTGTGCCTGCAGGGACAGTTTTAGTAACCAATCTGATTAATGAGCGGTTTTAGATGTGCAAAGCAGATGTATCATTTATCCTAGTTTTGCATTTATTTTGATGGCATCAGAACATTAAGGACATTTGAATAGTAAAATTCTTCAGACTACATTTTACCCAAAATATACCCAAGTATGCCTAAATAGCAAACAAACAAGGTTTGACTAGGCAAATTTCAAACGCTAATAACATGATCATTCAATACTGATTGTTGCATACATTTAGCATCAGTAAAGATAGTACACAAAAAAACTATTCACAAATTCCAACCTGTAATCAAACCTATAATGAGCATGGAGCATTTTTCCCATTTTGCCTCATTTGTGTTTCCAGCTTTGACCAAAGCCTGCTCTCATTAACTCATTCAAAGTCAGTTTGCATACGAGATTCATTCCCCCGTTTCTACATAAGACAACACGCATCTCGCCAGATGTCATATCAGTGCAGGACTCTGAAGAGAAAGATGAGCACCGACGTTGGCGACGTTCTTTTTTTCCTTGGAGTTGGGGTTGTCGGTGTTTCTGGAAATATATTCAACCTCATTTTCACTGTACAACAGCAAGTAAAAACCAGAACCATTCAGACTGTGGGCTTGATCCTAGATGTCATCTCCATCAGCAACATCATCTTAGCACTGGCTATTCTCAGCATGGTGGTTGGCATCTTTCTAAATCCCCAAATCTGGTGCATCAAGCCATATCCTTTTGATCTCCGTCTTGAAATTTATCTAATGTTGACTTGCGGCTTCATCAGCTTCTGGGCCATTGCTTGGCTGAGTCTCTTCTACTGCATCAAAGTTGTAAATTTCTCCTCTGAGATTTTCAGAACACTGAAGAAGAACATCTCAACTGTGATCAACACTGCGGTGCTGCTGAGCTGCTTGTTCTCCTGCTTGTTTTTCATCCCACTGTTCAGCCTTGATACTGTGGATTCAACGGAACAAAATGACAATGCGTATGGTAATGTGACCTGTCCAATGCCTTCTTTCACTATTCAGATGAACCAAGATGCATACTCAGCTGCTGTTCTGTTCCTCCTCTGCCCAATTCCACTGATGATCATGTTGCCCACCTCTGTCAGAATGGTGGTCCATCTATGCGCCCACACACGGGCACTCCAAAAGAACCAGACGCAGGTGCAGGGATCCGACTCATATCTCCTTGTGTGCAAACTCACCATCTCCCTGGTGGGAGTTTATCTGTTCAACCTATTCTTTGTGTCTTTGTTCATCCTTATGAAGCTAATCGGGGCATATATCACATATCAATACCTAGTCAGTACTTTTACCTTTTACTGTGGAGTGACTTCAGCACTCCTGACGGCTTCAAACAGGTATCTGAAAGATAAGCTCTGGAGTTTGTTCTGTTGCAGAAAAGCAAAGGAGCCAGCTAGCAAAAGCCACACAGTTGTGACAGGGGATGTTTGATGTGATGAAAAATAGAGTTTCATGTTTTTTTTTTTTTCCTTTTTCTGAATTATAATGTTTAGACCAGAGATGCCCAAAGTAGGGCCCACGGCCAAAGTGGACCCCTTGTAACTTTTGATTTGGCCCACCATCCCACCTGAGAGGAGAGTGAGAATGATGGAGAGGGTTTGGGTGAATGCCTTTAACACAGAGATCGTCAATTCTAATTTGATGTTTTCTTTTTCTTTTCTTTTTTTGTGTTAGTTTTATTGCCAAGCTGCAAAAAAAGCTAACTGAAATTAAACGTTTCAATTAAATGTTGGAAATGAATCTGATTTTTAAAAATGTAAATACTGTCACTTGATGAATAGAGGACTATGCAGAAGCAAATCAAGGCAAAAACTAGTGTAATTGTGTTATTTATTTTATTTACCTTCTGCCCACTAGCCTCAATCTCGTTTGGTTTTTGATCCTTCATAAGAAAAAGTTTGGGCACCCCTGATTTAGACCACTTCACAAAAACGTATCTGCTATCAGAGGCATATCGGACATAAAAGTGGGGGGGGGGGGGGGGGGGGGGCAGCCAAAAGTTTATGTGCATATAATTATTAATCACCTGTTTCTAAACGGTCCGTCTCTAAAACTAGGGGGACGTATTCACAAATCCCTATCCCTACAAATCCTGCTATTTTAATGTCATCATAAAACAAATCTCTTAATTAACAATTTCTTTTATAATGGAATTAACATGACTGCTTAGTTATTATTTTAGCTAAATGGCAGCCTGCTTATTTAGTTTCTGATAGAAAAAAGTTTTTGTAATCTTAAGTTTTTGTATCTCTGCTCTCTATTTTGTTGTCTACAGTAGTGTATATTAATTTGATTGAGCTTGTATTGACATGCTATAAGACGCAATTTACCTCACATATTGTAATGTGAAGGGATGCTGACAAAGAGGGTGTGAATCCAAATGCAGAGTTTATTAGCAGGATGGTCAGGCAAGGAACGGTCTACTCAGTGGCAAACAGATGTACACAGGAAACGGAGAGTTGTAGTCATAAACAGACTGATGGCCAAAAAGGCAGGCAGCAGACAACATAAGAAACAAAACAAAGCAAGGTTCAAACGCGGAAAGCAAGGCAAGAAAACTAAACCACGTCATAATATCCACAATGCCGTATAAGAAGACTCAGCCATGAAGAGTGTGTGTGTGTATGTGTGCGCACTGTATAAAATAGTCCATGTAATCAGTTCTAAACAGCTTCAGCTGTGTCTGTTTGCAATCATGAGGATCTAGACCAGGTGTGTAAGTGGTGCATGACTGGATTAGTACTTATGAGACAGGATTGTAGTTCATGTAAATGTGAAGGTTCTTCAGTGATTCATGAAGGTTATATCGCTGGTGATCGTGACACAGAACAATCTATGAGTTTACTTTTTTTTTATTCTACAATGCTTTTACACCATAGCCTCACAAAAATACTTTCCTCCTTTATTAAGCCATACAGATGACAATGGAGAAGCTTTGTGAGTGAAAAACATAAATCCTTACATCTTATAGGACATCTGAATATAGTAAATGTATTTAAATTATTCTAAATATATGCCTAAAATTGATTTATTTCTTTCGAAAAATCATACACAAACAATTCTTTAAACAAAATACATTTTAAGATATGCCTAAATAGGAAACAAACAAGGTTTTGAATTGGAACATTCCTGAAGCTGATTACATGAACATTCAATTGATTGTTATGCATGTTATGCATGTGAAAAAAAAAGTAGTCTCAGTGTCTCTAAGTGACGTGACATGGGTTCACCATCACTGAAGAAAGTACTTAGAGTGTTGTGTAATCTGACCTCTAATCAGCATTTCTGCCATTTAACCTAATTTGTATTTCCAGCCTGGACCAAAGCCTGCTCTCATTAACTCATGCAAAGCAACTTTGCATATGAGGATCATTCCCCATTTCTACATAAGATAACATGCATCTTGCCAGATGTCATACAGTATCAGCGCAGGACTCTAAAGAGAAAGATGAGCACCGACGTTGGGAACGTTCTTTTTTTCGTTGGAGTTGGGGTTGTCGGTGTTTCTGGAAACATATTCAACCTTATCTTTAGCTTACAACAGCAAGTAAAAACCAGATCCATTCAGACTGTGGGCTTAATCCTAGATGTCATCTCCATCAGCAACATCATCTTGGTACTTTCCACTCTCGCCATGGTGGTTAGTGTGTTTCTGAATGCCCACATTTGGTGCATCAAGCCATATCCTCTCGGTCTCCGTTTTGAAATGTATCTAATGATGACTTGCGGCTTCATCAGCTTCTGGGCCATTGCTTGGCTGAGTCTTTTCTACTGCATCAAAGTTGTGAATTTCTCCTCTGAGATCTTCAGAACATTGAAGAAGAACATCTCAACTGTGATCAACACTGCGGTGACGTTGAGCTGCTTGTTCTCCTTCTTGCTATTCCTTCCAGCGTTCAGCCTCGATCTTCCAGATTCAGCGGATAAAAATATCAGCGAGACAAATATCACAACCTGTCCACAGCCGACTTTCACTCTACAGATAGACATAAATGCATACGCAGCCGCTGTCCTGCTCCTCATCTGCCCGATCCCTCTGATGATCATGTTGCCCACCTCTGTCAGAATGGTGGTCCACCTCTGCGCCCACACACGGGCACTCCAGAAGAACCAGACGCAGGTGCAGGGATCCGACTCGTATCTCTTGGTGTGCAAACTCACCATCTCTCTGGTGGGAGTTTATCTGTCCACTCTATTTATGGTGGCATTGTATTTCATTATAAAGGTTTTGGGGGCATTTATGACATATCAAGCCCTAGTCAGTGCCTTTACTTTTTACTGTGGAATGACTTCAGTGCTACTGACGGCATCAAACAGGTATCTGAAAGATAAACTTTGGAGTCTGTTCTGTTGCAGGAAAGCAAAGGAGCCAGTTAGCAAAAGTCAGACAGTTGTGACACAGGATGTCTGATGTAGTGCAGTTTAGTTAAAGCGAAATTCAACCCCCTTAGACCTTTCTTCATCTTCAGAACACTAATTAATATATTTAAGAGCTCTCTGACCATCTGTAACCCCGCCGGTCCTACGTCACCCAACCCGCTCAGAGATGGTGTCCAACCGGCGACCTTCTGCATTGGAGTTGGTTGCTCTAACAAGGAGGCTAAAGACCATGGTCTCTAGCGTCTGTCTCTAGAGCACATTTAGAGGTCAGAGGAGTCAGGTTTACCTGCACAGCACTTACTAGCTGGCCTCCGTTTCACCTACATAGATAGCAAAGGTCCAGAAACATTGTCAAAATCTCATGTGGTTTAAGTGGTTCAACTATAATCATACTATAAAGCTACAAGAACAATTCTGTGTGCCAAAGAAAAACTGTAAAAACATCTTGGTTTGCCAATGTGTCCCGGGAATACGGCATACGGAATGCTGACTCTAATGGCAATACATTGTATATCCTGCAGTAAATGCCTAAATTGACAACCAAGTTCGAGGAGAAAACCTTGGTGAAAAAAGTTGGTTTTACTGTTTTTAGGGAGCTTTAGCTTTTAAATGATTACAGTTGAACCACTGAAGTCAGTTTTGACAATGTTTTTGGCTCATTTTCTAAACTTTGAACATCTCCTGGCCATTGCTGCTTATGAGAATAAGGGAGCTCTTGGATTTTCAATTAAAATATCTTAATTGTGTCATTTGTCATTTTAAACATGAACAAAGGTCTAAGGGGATTGGAACGACAAGAAGGTGAGAAATTAATAGCGGATATTTTATTTTAGGTAGAAATAAGCTTTAAGGGGACATAAACAGTAGTTCTTCATGTTTTTATTTACAATATTCAGACTACAATACTAAAAAGCAGATGCTATTTTAATGTCACTGTAAAAAAAAGTACCATAATGCAATTCAAAAGTGTAAATTCACAGGTGTATTTACTATTTTGAATTGTATTATAAGACCTCAATCTCTGTTCTGTAAACATTTAAAGCTGTAAGTTTAACAAAGTGACTTTTATTCACATTTTAGTAGCTTAAAGCAAGACCTGATATACATGGCAGTAAATCTGTAAAATAAAATAAAAGTTCTCCTAATTTGTATTTCATTCATATGGTTTTCCCCGTTTTCATCAGCTACGCCTCAGTGATGTGTGATGTCTATGTTTAGGATACTGCTACTAGCTGTATGCTACTTTTTCTCAGAATTCATACAAAATCGCCACCTGATTTTTACATGTGATTGGTTTGGAACTGGAAACTTGTCTATGTAGAAAAACATCAAATTTGTTCTCATAATATTGTGTAACGAATATGTCTTTGATTTAATGAATGGAATGCTTTAATTTAATTGGTAATTTAAATGTAGAGATAAATGTTACATTAGTATCTAGTTTATGTTATTTTACCGAACTGTGATAAATATTAATAAAATATTCCACATGAAAACTGTTTCTGAAATGCTGAGCATTGCCTCACACTCAAAGACTACACAAAAGTGATTTTAAATAAATGTAAGTAAGTGCAATCAAAATTCAGGTGAAATGATGGGAAACACTTTATTTTGATGGTCCATTTGAGTATTAGTAGACTGTCTGCTTAAAATGTTGATATACTCCTTCAACAAACATTTAACTGACTTTAAGAAACTTTGCAAGTACATGTCAACTTAAACTAACCCCCAAACTAACAGTCTAGTTAGAATTTAATGAGAATTAGTTGCAATGTAACTTAAATTCAACAAACAAAATAAAATAAATGCTTAAAATAAAAACAAAACAAAGTGTGATCAAATAAGGTTTCGTTATTATTCAGTTTAACAGATATGTTAAATTAAAACAATACTTATTCTGCCCTGTCCTTAAGAAAACATCTAAAACAATAAGTGATAGTACTATATTTGAAACTACTGGAACTCCTTGTTTACAAATAGATAAAAAAAATAGCAGTTTAAAGGATAATGGCAAATTTCTAAAGATTTAATGAGTTTTTTTTGTGCTGCACTGTGATCATCAAAGGGATAGTTCATGAAATGAAAATTCTGTCATCATTTACCAGCAACCAGCATTCTTCAAATGATCTTCTCTTGTGTTTAACAGAACACGAAACCTCAAAGGTTTAAAAATTATTTTAAATGATTTAAATGATAAATGATTTTTGTTCTTTGCCTGACAATGTTTTTGTATATAAACTTTTGTTACAGTGACTGTCATTTTTGACTCCTGCATTTAGACATTTCACCTTCAAAACTTTTTACTTACAAAAGTATTTTTTCTCTTACAAAAGTATTACATATACTCTATACAAGTGCCGTGCCGTTCACTAGCCTAAAATCTAAATTCTCTACCACTTTTGGAGGATAGGAGCTGACATTTACTAAATATCCTTTCTATTCATTTAAAACATGTGATTTATATGAATTTGATCAGCTGTTCTTGAGATTTTGGCATTTCTCTGTATAACTAAACAGTTGCATGCTTGACATAACTGCCCTGGAGGCGTTAAAAATATGGCCGTAGTGTGAGCTATCTTTCCCTAAACAGGTCATGGGATTGATCATGGGATTGACTCTAGGGAACACACAAAACAGATAGCTGCAAGAAATCACTGCCAATTGCATAAACCAGAAATAATTTTATTTTTGAGTAAAGATTTAGATCCAGTACACCATACTACTACACAGTAACATAATGAAAGATGAAAGTTTAAACATAAATCTTGACCGTTCAACTGTTCAAACAGACTCAGTTAAACATTTTCTGTATCTTTAATTTAAAAAACTCTGGTAAACCTTTGTTTTCAAAGGTTTGTGGCAACGATTCAACATTCATGATAACTTTATGAGCTTCATCGAAGAGTTCCACGCCGACCTCCTTCTTCACACGGTCTCTCCAGGCGCTTAGAGCAGGCCTGCCTTCAAACACATCTACACCTGTAGCAACCGGCTTCAAAACACAGAAAAACATCTGATCAGTATGTCATATACAGAGCCAGCACATACACTCTTAGAAATAAAGGTATGCGGGAGCTGTCACTGGGGCAGTACCTTTTCAAAAGATACATATTTGTACCTAAAAGAGACCACAGTGGCACTTCAAAGGTACAAATGCACCTTAAATGTACCAATACGGTCCATTAAGGTACAAATTTGGTCCATTGAGGTACCAATATGGTACATTGAGGTACCAATATGGTCTCTTCAGGTACAAATATGTACCTTTTGAGAAGGTACTGCCCCAGTGACAGCTTCCGTACTTTTATTTCTGAGAGTGTAAGAAAATCAAATTACGTTAATGTACCTGCATCATCTCCACAATGGCTACAATATCAGCCAGAGATATTTTATCCCCTATTATGAAGGGCCTGCTCTGCAGAAATTTGTCCTCAAAGATCTTCAAAGACATGTTGAGATCCTCCAAGGCAGAATCCATCTTTTCTTTGGGCACTGGAGCGCCTGTGACCGCAGGCAAGACTCCCTAGAGTTGTGAAATGACAAATAGAGATCAATGGTTGACTGATAAAAACATGCAAGAAGAGAATAACTAAAAAAGGAGAGGTTACATGATCACAATTTGCTCAGTATACACAAACACACAAGCAATCTGTTTAATGTTTAAACAAAGCGAATCTCACCTTGAACCAGAAGACCTTTGAGCCATGAGATCTAATGTTCGTGTGCTGCCAGGAGAGAAACTCATCCACTTGTGCTCGTTTCTGCAGGTCAGCTGGATACCAGTGGTCAGGAGTGCTGTGTTTTCCTGCCAGGTACAGCAGGATAGCTATACTGTATAGAAAGAACATATTTATTTAGTCTTATAACATTTAAGTTTGTGTTAAATGTAACTTGAGATAGCAAAATACCTCTCTGTGAGAAGGAAATCTCCATCTTTGAGAGCAGGAACTTTCCTTATGATGCTGACTTTGCCGAATTCGTCTCCATATTGTTCACCTTTGAGCATAAAGACCAAAAAATAACATGTAAAACTATTTGACTGAACACAAGAACACTAATCTAAAAACGTATGTAAAATTAATGATTAATACAAATTATATTAATGGTATTTAATTTTTCATGCATTCGTTCATTCGGCTTAGTCTCTATTTCAGAGGTTGCCACAGCAGAATGAACCACCAACTATTCCAGCATATGTTTTAAGCAGCAGATGCCCTTTCCCAGTATTGGGAGAGTTAATAAATTATTATTTAATGTTAAGCACAATAAGGTTAATTATTACAAGTCAAAAGCCTGTTTAGGGATCAAAAATAAAAGCTGTGGCGTGAAATATTGTGAACTTAGTTTTTAATCATTATTATTTTATTTCATTTGATGATAAAGCTGGTCATAGTTTACCCAAAAATGAAAATTCTGAGATCTTTGATTTGCCTTTTTTTTTTTTTTTTTTTTGCTGTTAAACACAAATTTCCAACATTCTTTAAATTTCTTCTTTTGTGTTAAAAACAACTACCTCAAACTGGTTTGGAACAATTCAAGGGTGAATAAAACGAAGGCAGAATTTTCATTCTAGGGTCTACAGTGTTGTGTGATCCTTCAGAAATCATTGTAAAAGGGGAGAGTGGGGACAAAGGTAACAAATCGGTTATCTCGAAGCCCTGAAATGTTTGCTTTTACAGACTATAACAGCATATTCAGTGTGCAACCCTTAATAGAAAAGCCAAAAAATCAACTGATTTTGGGACCATGCCCCAATGGTCTGAATTTTAATTTTTAAGTGCAATAAGTAATTCTACAGGTTATTTAGTGCAATAACACATCCTTAAGTTTGCAATGTCTGAGTTTTTCAGTTTAAAAGTAAATCAGGTTTAAATGGTAAGAGTTTCTAATGAAAGTAACACTTTTATTTATGTCCAACTGCTAATAGCCATGCACTATTTTTCACTTCCACATTAGAGTTTTTAGTGTTTTGATTCAGATACTTTATAGAAAATAATGCATATTGCTAATAATATTTAAAAATATTACAAA